TTCACTGGAATCACTTGGATAAATTCAGCCCTGGAATTTACAGTCTTTACTGAACCAAATGGTAAAAGGTAGCTGTTAACTTGAAAACTACCACTACATGACATCACAAGGTGGAACAGAGTATTTTGAGCTTTGGAGATGTAAGTAAGACTAATAATAAAGGATTACTCAAACATGTGTGAATGAAACTCAACACAACTCTCCAGGTATGTTTTTTTTTTTTTTAACATGACTAAAAGCTTACAGGAGCCAATTTGGTGTAATATAGGACCTTAAATATAATATAAAACGAAGAACAAATAGTTTATTAAGATATGATTAATAACCACTTAAATAATTTTCCTACCTCGTAATTAAGTATTTAGTTACTAAGCTTTAAGCATTCTTAATAAAGTTCATTATAAATAAAGTTTAAAGGTGCATTGTGTAACTTTTTTGGTGGAGAGTGGTGTTGCTTGTTTCTATGGATATGTCATTGCTTTGGTTTGAATGTTCCACAGTGTGACATTAAACAGCTTTACTTTACATTTATTACATTTTATAGTTTTATAGCTCCAAAATACCCAGAAAAACAGGTATTCTGACTGTGAGCAGGGTCATCTCTCCACAGATCTGACCTGTAACTTTGTCTGGTTTGGTCTAAAAGAGAAGCTAGAAAGGTTTAATGCCGCACTGTGAACCATTGCAGACAAAGCAGTAACATCTCCATGGAGGAAAGCATCTGATAGGCACTCCACCAGAAAAGTTACACAGTGCATCTTTAAAATGTGTTCATGCTTTGTTAAGGCTAATTAAAGTGAGACTATTATAAAGTGTTAGTATTCTACTTGTTCGTACATCAGATGAATAATATTAACTTTTACTTGTGTAGTGTTTATAAGAAATTGTATTTGTAGTTTTAATTGCTATGTTTTTTTTGGTCATATTCTTATTCTGATTTCAAGAAGACTAAATCATAAATCAGATGACTTCACAGCAGGATATTCACCACAGTAAAAGCTTAAAAATGAAATGATCTGTCTAATGTTTAACACTGCAGAGCATTGCAGTAATATCATTTTTTTATCCAGTACAATTTTTCACACCAAGTACCATCAAAGAAAAGATTTGGCTTTCTGATTACCACTAGATCTAAACCAGGTCTTTAACAGGACTATTCCAGGTCCAATCTGGGGCTAAATCAGGTCTAAACTCTACAGGACTACATCATTTCCACTGTAATTCTAAACAAGAAATTACCCAAAGGACATAAAAGTGGTAGAATGAACTTTCCGTGTACAGTATGAAGGAACTTGCACACCACCAGTACACCTGCCACAGTTTGAGAAACACTGAATTAGTTGTAACTTATTTATTTTTAACCAGACAAAGCTATAAAATATCCATGTAGACAAGCAGGCCTCCACCGAAAGTTCCCTCTGTTTGGCTTTAAATTTGCTATATTACACAAAAGTGACTCTCAGAAACATTAAACCATGTGATAATGTTGTTACCTCCTCAAAAACATACCTGGATTTGTGTTTTGTTTCATTCACACGTGTCTGAATAATCCTTTATCGCCAGTCTGTCTACATCTCCAAAGCTCAAAATGCTCTGTTCCCCCTTGTGATGTTATGCAGTGGTAGTTTTGTTAGTTAACAGTTATTTTTTACCTTTAGTTCAGTAGAGATTGGCAATTCCAGGGCTGAAATTTGTCCAAATGATTCTAGTGAACGTGCATGCAGTTTAAAAACACAGTGGAGCACATTTTCCTTATGCAGAGTTTGTGTGTTAAACATGGGTGAATGAAACAAAACACAACTCCAGGTCTGTTTGTGATGAGGAAACAACATTGTAACAGATGTCAGAAAATAGTGTAATATAGGCCATTTTAATATATAATTCATTGTATTTAACATAGGAAATTAATTAAACAACATTGTTATATTGTTTTGTAACACAAGATACAGAGACGTGCACAACCCCAGAATGCAGCTCTATCCGAGTCTCAGGGTAACATTAGGACAGGTATAGCTGTTCCACTTAATTGTTTTGGAACGCGCTTCATAATCACTGAATAATCATTTGAGATGGAAACCTCATTAGCATACGGAGCAGCGTGTCTCGACCTGTAAAGTACCTGGAAAACGTAGAGGCACAACTTTATTTATCTATTGTTGTTGTAATACTAAAATTTCAAACTTGATTTTGATACTAAAGAATAGACTCAATACTCTTCTGATACTGCGATGAAAATTCAAATAAAACTCTTTCTTTAGACAATAGAATGTGATTTTCAACATTAAATCGTAGTACTGTACTTTATTTGATATTACCATGTAGTCTTATATCTGTGTAATCCCTCTGTGGTCCAGGTAGGTTTCATAGTGGTCCATGGGCGTATATAATAGACTATGTGCTCTTATACTTGTTCTGGTACAGTTCAAGATCATTCTAAAGACATTCATGTCCTGTGATCGTGAATGTTTTAGTAACGATACCAGTTTCAACATTAGTTTTAATCTCACTGTAGTGTCTGATTTTTGATATTTTTGACATAACTATTAGTCATCTTATAGAATTGTTTCTTCACCGGGGGTTGTGTTTGTTGCAGTCAGACATGCCTGAGTAATCCCACGTGTTACGTCCTTCTCGAAATACTCTGATCCACCAGGTGATGTCATGCGGTGATGACCTCCGTCTTCTTCTTTCAGTGGGTCTCGTTAACACTTAGCAGCTATTGTGTTCTGCTTTAAGTTAATAGCACTTGCATTATTCGTTAACAAAAGGTCCTATATTCAAAACAAGACAAGAAAAACAACAAAGAAAAAAAAAATATGAAGGAACAACCTTATAACATAGATCATAAAATATATCTATGTTTAAACAGAAATGTTACTGAAAAGTTTATTTTAATAGCAGCTTGACAGTATAGCACTTGTTCACAGATATAAAGGTTGTTGTGTTCTTGGGCAAGACACTTCACTCACCTTGCAATGTATGAATGTGGTGTGAGTCAGTGAGTGGGGAGACTTGTGAATGGGAATACTAATAATATACAATACTAAGGCATTATTATTGGACCTGATAATAAGCAAATCCAGAAAAGTAACTGTACTTTCTTGAGTAATGGTGTTTATTAGGGATATAACAATAACCGAAATATTGTGATATTGTATCATCAAAAGTCTCACAATAATATCGTGGGTCATTATATAGATATACAAGCCTTTTTGCTAAAATTAATAGTTATGTGTTTTTTTTTTATGTCTTTCTTTGTGATTTCATTGTCTTTCTTAATGTGTAAAGCACTTTGAATTACTTTGTGTATGGGTTGTGCTATACAAATAAACTTGCCTTCGTCTTGCCACGGTGCACCAAAAGCTAAAAAACAGAGGGAACTATATAGACAATGATCCTTTGGTGTTGTAAGTGCAAACTACGTGAAGAAATACCTTAAGCACTTGTAAATCGTAATTCTTCATATTATAACACCACCAGAGGCCTTTCAAGACTTTTCCAAGGCTTTTAAAAGGAAAAGTAAGCCTCCACAAAATATCGTTACAAATATGGAGCCGTGAGATGCATATCGTGAAAATATTGTATTGAAGGATTTTGATATCATTTCATCCCTAGTGTTGATACTGTTTATGATGTTATTAATATTTCATTTTAGAGCTGAAATGTAACAGTCTTGTCTTTGTCTTTGTAGGAATCTTCATGGGGACCAAATTTGGGCAGAGCAGGTTTGCTTTGGCCAGGTGGAGCTGTCCTCATACACCTATATGTCAGTATCGACGTAGAAACAAGCAGGCATAAGTAAAACTTCATCCATTACAGGTATGTTTGAAAGACAAATAAACTCACTTTTGTTTATTGGTACTTGTGCTTGCGTTATCTTCTGATCCTATAATGTATTTCCTCATTAAAAAACATACCCGGAGTTGTTGTTTCATTCACACATTTAACACACTATAACTTATATTGTTATATTGCATATTTAGGGTGAGTTCTTCTCTCAAAAGGAAACACTCTGTTCCACTTTATGATACCATGTGATAATACAGGAAGTTCTCCACTGTGTTTTGGAACTCAATACACCTTCACTAGAATCATTTGAATGACAGCTCCAGGTAGCTGTTAACCTGAAAACGTCTACTAAATGACAAGACATCACAAGATGGAACAGAATTTTGAGCTTTGGAGATGTAGACAGACTAGTAATGAAAGGTTTTTGATGAGGTAACAACATTCTAAAATGGCATAAAGTTTGCAAGAATCAATTTTGAGTAATATAGGATTGTTAACGTATAATATTTTAATTTAAAAAGCCATTTCATTGTAATTAAAAAAGGTATCCAAAATACATTACTAAAACCTTCTGCAAATGATGGAAATCTGATGTGCCCAAATTGAATTCAGTTTGCCTGCCTTACTTCCCTGCATTTTGATTTCACAGAATTTTTTTTCCTATTGGTTTGTTTGTGTCTACTTATAGTACCATAATGTAAATATAACATTGACTTAAAAAAAATTGATAACTGTGTTCCCTCATCATTCATTTACTCCGAGTTGTATTTTGATGATTCATGCATCTTCAGACTTGAGGACTCAGAAAATTGCAGTTTTCACTTACCCCTTCTCCGTGCATAATTGCTCTTTGTCTAATTCTCAGACTCTTGAGTTCTAAAATGTCACATAGCAACAAACTATAAAAACATTTAAATGATAATCTGCTGCTTGTATACAAGGAAATGTCAGTATAAAAAGGCGGGCCTATCAGTTCCATTTTGAACAGGAAATCAATAGACTTATTTTTAAGGTGTTTAGATCAGTCTGGGTGTTTACAATCAATGTAAAATAATGATATACGTATGTTATAGTTGAATGCTAAATACCAGAAAAATATCTTTTTTTAACAAAATGTTTTTTACCATATTTAACTCTCATTTTTTTTGTTTGAAGGTATCACCACTGTAACCAGCAAGGAGGGAATGGTGCGCTGCTAACTACGTGTCAAAATGCCTGGCAAGAAAGACAACAAAAAGGATGCAAAGAAAGGAAAACCTGAACCCGAGAAAAAGAAAGAGGAGGAGAAGAAAGGAAAGGATGACAAGAAGGGAGGAAAGGATGACAAGAAAGGAAAAGATGACAAGAAAGATGACAAAAAGGGAGGAAAGGATGACAAGAAAGGAGGAAAGAAGGGGAAAGAGGAGCCTCCACCAAAAGGCAAGGACGATGGGAAGAAAGGAAAGGACAAGGGCAAAGGAAAGAAGGTGGAGTCTGAAGAGGAGGACGAGGAGCTGTTGAGCGAGGAAGAGGAAGAAGAGAGTGATGAGGAAGACTCTGAGGATGACAAGCGAAAGAAAGGCAAAGGAGGAAAGGGGGATAAAGGGAAGAAAGGCAGTAAGCCCAAGAGACGGGGGGATGACTCCGACGAGGACTCTGAGGAAGACGAAGATGAGGATGAGGACTCCGACGACGAAGATGACAGCAAATCCAAAAAGAAAGCCAAAGGAGGGAAAGACGATGGAAAGAAGAAGAAAAAGAAGGATATTACTGCGGCCCCAATCAAGGACATGCACAAGAGAGGTCTCAAAAACATGTCCAGGATGTTCATGAAGTTTTCAGGTTTCAAAAGACGCAGGACCAGCAGGAAGAAGCTGAAGAGTACATCTCGCTTGTTTCTCGGATTAGGGAAAAGGAAAAATCGGATAAAGTCAGCCAAGAAGAAACGTCGCAAATCTATGCTAAAACACACCTCTCGATTAATGTTTCGATTCAAAGCCAGCAAAAAGAAGAAAAAGGAGAAGGAGGCAAAGGAGAAGGCAGCTAACGGCGGCAACAAACCGACATACATGCTGCTACGATTAGGCGGAAACTCGAATCAGAAAACTGGATTTTTCAAGGGGATGTTCGGTCAAAAAGATCCCGCTGGGTTTAAAAACAGAAGTAAGATTCTTGGGAGGGTTGCCGCGGCTACCAACTGGCTGACAAATCGCTTCCTGTCCAGTAAAATGCGAGGCCGTAGAGGACAGCAAGGGCAGAGGCAGAGTCGTAGAGGGCACTCGCACGGTTACCAAAATGACGGTTACGATTATGGCGACGACCCTTACGGCCAAGACCCACGATATGGAGGTCACCAGAAGGGTTACGGGGCGTATGATAATGGCTATGGCGGTTATGGAGATGAAGCCGCTTATGGAGGCCAAGGTCATTACGGTGATCAAGGACAATACCAGGATCAGTATGGTTACTATGAGGGAGACGGAGCAGACTACCAGGACTTGGGTTACTACGAGGAAGAAGGGCTGTACGATCCGAACGCCGAATATTACGAAGGCGGGGTTTATGATGATGGAATGGGGAATTATTATAACCCATACGGAGCCACACAAGATTACTATGGTCAGGAAGCCGATTATTACCAGCAACAGCAGCAGGCAATGGGAGGATACGGCGACGAGGCTCTTGAGTACTACGCCGTGATGGGAGAAGATCACATGTACGCGGGTGGGATGGATGGTTACATGGATCCTATGGCGCAGGTTTATCCAGCTGAAATGGCTCAAGCGGGATATTTTGGTGAAGGCCAAGCTGGGTTTTATGATCCCGGGCAGGCCGCTTTTCAAAATCCATACGCACAAATGCAAATGCAGGCTGGACTTCCCACAGATTTCCAACTCAACTATAGTCAAGGGGGAATGCCGTACCAAGACTTCAACTCTCAGCAGGCTATGGGAATGGGAATGCCGGGAGGTCAAGGTTTTGGATTTCCAGGTCAAGGAATGGACCAGACTCAGGCCCTCTATGGAGATCAATTTGCAAACCAACCAGATCAATTTTTGGACGCTGGAGGCATGCAGGGAGGGGACGTCACGTTCAGAGTCCCTAGACCGCAAGTTCGTCTCTTCGGCAAAGAGCGTCTAGATGTGCCCCTTCCGCCACCACCTACTATGCCTCCAGATCCAGAGTTTGAAGGAATGTCGGAGATACAATATGAAGACCAAATTCCACTCACCCCTGGTCTGGTGCCTGGTGGCATGCTCTCTGTTCCACAAATAGGACTACCACAGCAACAGATGACGATGTCTCCACAAGATCAGATGATGATGGCTCAACAAGATCAGATGATGATGGCTCAACAAGATCAGATGATGATGGCTCAACAAAATCAGATGATGATGGCTCAACAAAACCAGATGATGATGGCTCAACAAAACCAGATGATGATGGATCAACAAAACCAGATGATGATGGACCAACAAACTCAGATGATGCAGCAAGCGCAAGCAGGGGTGATGGCCCCACAGGAACAAATGATGATGCCCCCACAGAGTCTGTCACCCGCGCAACAAATGATGCTCCAGGATCAGCAGCAGCAGATGGGCATGCCTCCGATGATGCCTTCACCAGCCATGTCACCACAGCCTCAAATGATGATGCCACAGCAGCAAGCAATGTTACAAGACCCAGGCATGTCAGCCCAAATGATGCAAGCAATGTCTCCCCAACCAGCCATGATGTCACCCCAACCTCAGATGATGTTACCACAGCAACAGATGATGCCCCAACAGGTCATGTCTCCACAGCCTGCAATGATGGCGCAGCAACCAATGGTGTCACCACAGGTATGGAAAATTCTGTTTAATATAAAAATACTTATTGCTTAACATACTTTTAAACAGTGTTAAAATGTGTGGATTATGTTATGTTTTGTTCCCAGCAAATGATGGCAGACCAGATGATGATGATGGCACAGGATCAGGGTTATGGACCTCCTTCGATCCCCACACCTTCTGCGATGATTATCAAGCAGGCAGGCATGACTCCTCTTCCTGCCCGTAGAATGCAAGCATCCCCCACCCCCTCCCGGCGCTCAATGATGATGCCTTCACCTCAGATGCAGCGTCATCCCATGGCTATGTCAGGGTCGCCCATGATGCCTCCACGACAAATGCACTCTCCACAGCCTTCAATGAGAAATGGCTTCATGGGTGCTCATAGACCACCCTCAGTCATGTCTAGACGGATGTCGCCTCCCCCCTCTCCGCGCGCTTCTCCCCTTGCCCATCAAAGAATGCCCCCTCAGAGATCACCTCCTCCCATGGCTCGACCCCGGTCCCCTCCGCACTCTCCACGAGCCTCCATGATGCGCCGCAGTCCCCCGGGTTCACCAAGAGCCTCTATGCGGCGCCGCTCTCCTCCTGGCTCTCCTCGAGCTTCCATGAGGAGACCAAGTCCTCCTCCTGCAGCCAGCCCTGCTCGCAGCCCATTTGGAGGAAGAAAAATTGAGGCTCGCCCGCCGTCTCCAAGCCGGGCACCTCCAAGCCGGGCATCTCCACCGGTGTCACCCCAACTTAACAGAAGGCTTTCTCCCTCTCCTCCCCCATCACATCGCAGCATCTCCCCCACTGGACCACGGCCTGCTCAGGCATCCCCTACCCTCTCCCGTCGCTCCACCCGTTTACTCAGGGACCCTACTCCTTTGGCCAGGCCCAGGATGGGTGTACCTCTAGGCACAGTGAGACCATCTCCCATGGGTCTCAGAGGACGCCCAGTGCCCCCTCCAACCCAAAATGTACGTCCGTTCCGTGCCTCCTCCATCCATAGTAACAGGTCCTCTGTTCTCACCATAGACTCCTCCCTTCACTCTTCTCCCTTTCACTCTCCTCCTATGATACATCGGGCTCCGTTGGGGAGAAGGGAGTCTGGTCGCATTCTCCATCGTCCTGTGGCTAGAGGGCGCCCTTTAATTGCTCAGCAGTCCATGAGGAGTATGCCTCCACCCTCTCCTCAGATGTCACTTAAACACATGGGGCACCCTGCCTCCCCAAGACTTTCGCCAAGATATTCTCATCCCCCATCCCCAATCATGTCTCCACACCCACCTGCTTTTGCACCAGAACCTCAAATGCCTGGGATGTACGCAGACCCTTACATTGATCAGGCACAGCAGTTCACGGCCCCTCCTTCCCCCATGCTGTCTCGTGCTATACAAAACCAGGCACTACAGCAAGCTTCTTTCGCCTCTCCTTTTGGTCCAGCAGGATCTCCAGTGGTCAATGCCGGCGGGATGGGTGCTGAATTTGCAGATCCATACGTTCCTTCTTCTCCCTCTCTTTCCGGTGCGATGCAAAACCAGATGATCCGCGATGCCTCATATGTTTCTCCTTTACAAAGACCAGGTTCACCCTATGAGCAGCCCATGGCTCCATCTTCTCCCCTGCTCTCGGGGGCTCTGCAGAATCAAGCACTAAGAGATGCATCGTACGTTTCTCCGATGTCTCCTTACCAGCAACCCATGGCCCCTTCTTCTCCTGTGCTGTCAGGGGCTCTACAGAACCAAGCCATTCGAGGAGCGTCATATGTGTCCCCGCTTCAGAGGCCCGTCTCCCCATATGCCTCTGTGCCCTCGTCCCCAATGCTTTCTGGAGCTATGAGGCATGGGCAGGCGTTAAGAGGAGTGGCTTCTTACCAAGTGCCAGGTATGCAGTCGCCATATGGACCTACTGTGATTGGTCCGTATGGTGACATAATTGAACCTGCCCCCGCCCCAATGCTCCATGATGCCCTTCAGAATAGATCAGGGTTACAGGGCGTCTCCACTTTGAGATCTCCCATGATGCAGAGAAGGAACCCCTACGCTCCTGCCACTCCTCAGCTCAACCGGGCATTACAGCAGAACCCCGGCCTCCGCCAAGCATCTTATCATTCCCCAATACAATTCCGATCGCCGTACGCGCCCGCCTCACCCATGCTGGGCTCGGCCTTGCAGAACCGACAGCTGATGCAGTCATCCTATAGGCTGCCGGACGGGACCCTGGTGTCCCCTTATGCAGACCCTCGGACCTCACCTATGCTTGGCAGTGCACTACAAAATCCACAACTCCGAGGGGCTTCCTTTACTTTACCTGATGGATCATACATACGGGTAAGAACAAAGAGCTTTTTATTCTTTTTATGTAATATGTTCTAGATATGCGTTCTATGTCAACACATTGCATGAACCTTAGTGATAGAAACAGGCCAAATATGGGTCAGGTATGTGGAGATTCAAGATTTACAGTAAGAATGTAAGTTTTTCAGTGCAATAAACACTGCCAAAATTATTATTATTTTTTTAAAGTATGCTTTTATTTTAGTCTACTTTTTTTTTTTTCTTTTTTTTTTTTTTTTCAAAAAGTGGCATACTGTGGCTTTAATTCCTATTTTTGATCTACTTTAGACTTTAGTTATATGAATTGAATGTGCTTTCTTTTTCTTAAATATCACTCTTATTCTGTTACTTGCACAGGATCCACGAAGGCCCTTGTCTCCCAACCTTTCCAGAGCTCTTCAGAACCAGGATCTCAGAAGTGCCACGTACACTCTCCCTGATGGCACCATTATTGACCCCAGGCAGCAAGTACGCTACCATATTACTTTATTTCAATGGAATTCCCATGTTTATTACAATGGATGATTTTTTTTTTTTTTTATGCAGCAACCGATTTCCCCAGATCTGGCTAAAGCCCTGAATAATCCAGCTCTCAGGAGAGCCTCCTACTCTCTTCCTGATGGCACTATTGTGATCGACCCAAACACGCCCAAAAGCCCAAACCTCGCAGCTGCACTTAGTAACCCTTTCCTGAAAAGTGCCTCATACACTCTGCCCGATGGAACAATCATCATTGACCCGCGAAAGCCTGTGTCACCAAACCTGGCTGCAGCACTGCAGAACCCTGCTATGCGCAATGCCAGCTATTCTCTCCCAGAGGGCGTCCAGGATCCCAATGTCCCATTGTCACCCAACCTGGCTAAAGTGAGTATGACTGAACCATAGACTGTGTATATAAATGGACATTGTTACTCCTCTAGCCACAGTGCTCCAAATAGGAAGTGTTCATGGGGTGCTTCTGGCTCCATCCACTTTGTCTCCAATTCAGTTGTCAAAAAAACTGTTGCCCCTGTCTCTGTAACTACTGCTGCCTTATTTTGGTCTACTTCTTTATACAGTCTATGGATTGAACATATTGAATACATCATGTTACTATTAGTGCTTTCTAGATTCTAGAATGTGATGCCATTCTTTCAGGTAGGGTGGGTGAATGAGCCAAGTTTTCCTATTAATTATATCGTATTCTCATGAGAAATATCCAAAAGGTAAATTCACAAAAACCTGATCATTTCTTTTAGTTACTAGACCCAAGAACTATATATATATACACCACATATTCTACCCCACCCACTTTTTTTCTAAATGCTCCTAAATTGAGCTTTTTTGTGGTGGCACTTCTGGTTAAACGGGAATCCCATTCATGTCAGTGGAGAATTTGGGAAACATTTGCATCTTAAATATGATATAAAGTAGGTTAATTTGTGTAAAATGTTCAGTTTTCATGTGCACCAACAAGTCAACACTGCACTGATTCTCTGCAGGGCTTTAAAAGCAGTTTTGTCATCTGTATTAAACTTACTTGCTCCCATACAGCCCCATACAAAATAATACAACCCGAAAGATGATGACAGTGCCCACAGCAACTTCCAGAATAAGGTGGATAACAATATTAATTTTAGCTGCCCATGGTCTGTATTAAATATTAATATCCTATTGAATTTTGTGATGTTACCTAAAACCCAGCAATTGCCATAATATATATTTTTGCAGCTTAACACACTGCACTACTTGAATGGTATTCATATGAATTATATGAATAGGTTTTCACTGTAAATGGTGCTTTGGTCTTTGTTGTGGTGTCAAAAAAACTACTGTATAATAATTAACAGCAGATATTTTATAACATAATAAAATGCAGGTTTCAGAGGCTGCAGTTAGGAGTCTGTTCCCAATTGGTACAGTTGGAACAAGGTTGGAGATGGTTCTCAAAAAATTCTCTACTCTAGGTGCAAACACTTGAGAGCTAGAGCAATAGAAATGTGAAACTAAATTTGAACTTGACGTGGCTTGACATGACATCTCTTTTGTAGGCTCTCAACAACCCAGCATTGAAAGGCGCAACATACCAACTTGCAGATGGGACCTATATTGTTGATCCAAACAAACCCAAGTCTCCAAACCTCGCAGCCGCTCTGCAGAACCCCTATCTGAAGAGTGCGTCCTACACCCTGCCAGACGGAACCATCATCATCGACCCACGCAAGCCTGTCGGACCAAACCTGTCCAATGTTAGTACCTGTCTCTTACTTATGTCACTGTTAGAGAATGTTATATGCCAAAATATAGAAGACCACACATACAATTTTATTTTCATGCCGGGCCTCATGTGAAAGCTCAGAACCTCTAGAATTCCCTCACTGAGCTGCAGAGGCTGCACTAGCACTGATTCATGATTGACTGCTGGTGCTGAGGTTGAGGTAGTGACCATTCAGATTACAAAGTCCTTTTAGCTTTAAACCAACTTGATTTTGGTGTTGGAACTGGCAACCCAAATGTTAGACTCATATTAGCTTGTGAAACGAAACACCAAACAACATGAACAACTTTGTCATCATGTACAATATTTTATTTGTATTCATGGGTAAATCATCATTACAATTGTTTTCAGTAAGAGAGTTGAGAGTAGAGAAAGTTAATTGCTATATGAATGTGACCATTTTGTACATTTTACTATGGTTTTACCTCATATCTGGAGAACCAGATACAACTTTAATATAAATTGTGCACACTCTACTTTTAAAGGTGCACTATGTAATTTTTTTAGTTGGGGTCTGTCACCTGCTTGTCTCTGTGGATATGTCATTGCTCTGCCTGGAATGTTCCACAGTATGACATTAAACAGCTCTACCTTATATTTGTTCAATTACAGGTGGTTTTATAATTAAAAAATACCTAGAAAAACAGGCATTCTGACTGTGAGCAGGATTTGTACTCCACAGATCTGACCTGTAACTTGTTCTGGTTTGGTTTACGTGATGATAGAAAGGTTTAATACCATACTGTGAAACATTCCAGACAAAGTAATAACATCTCCACGTAAAAAAAAGCATTTGACAGAGCCTCCACCAGAAAAATCACACAATGCATCTTTAAAATCAAAACAAGTGTATCAAAATAATCTAATAATAGTATCTTAATACTAAACTCCGTTGCAGGCTCTTCTCAATGAACACCTTCGTAAAGCCTCGTACCAGGTTCCTGATGGAGCCCTGCACATCCCGGGTCAGAAGCCCAACTTGTCATTCGCCTTACGTCAGAATCGTCCCCTACGCAGCACTGGCCTGTATCACCTCTCCGACTCCTCCATTCTGTCAGGAGTGCCCAACCCTATCCCTCCCAACCTCTCCTCAGCTATGCAGATGGATGGGCTGCGTGGGATCAAGTTTAGGTGAGGATGTCAAATTCATATCAGGATTATCAGCAATAGAGGCAGGAGACAGAGGTGGGAGATAGGGCTGTCACTGTAACCGCAATATTGTATGAGCAATCACAGCGCATGAGAGTTCAGGCGACTAGAGTAACTGCTTATTAATGAGGCTCCATTCACATGTCCAGCATGCCTGGAGCATTGTTTGTGTAGTTTCATGCGTAGCTATAAAACTATTCATAAGGTGTCTGCTCCATGCACCCAAAACACCCTGCACCTTTTTCTCGACTCTTGCTGTTTTCATTTTCAGAAAGGGCAGGCTTGGTGAACAGTTTGGTCAATAATCACTGTTGCAGTCCTTGATGTGTAACTTGACACATCCATTTAGATTGAATGGGGACTTTTAAGGGACGCACAGTGCATACATGTGTACCCCTGCAGGTGCCTCTGTGGGGGTTTCCTGTGGTTGTACGGGCATAATAATCATAATAATATATCCTTGTAACTTGTCTGTAAAACTTTCACTCCACATGCACTTAGGACTGGCATCCCCCATGTACATGTATTGTTATTTCCGCAAGGGAAATTCTTGAACCGTGACAGCCCTAGCGGGAGATATACTGAAGGATAATAATATAATAATAATATGGCAGATATGGATAGAGCTGATACTCTTTTGCGATTTGAGAAATATTTGTACCTCAATCATGAGGCATGTTCTGGACGCTTGTATAAAGATATTAATAAAGGTGTATTTTTTAATCCCATTTGACAAGATTCAGGCAATATTATGATAAACCATCAAAAATGCAGCAAATAGTTCCTAAGAAGGCTATGTATGGCTGTGCATTAGACATTTTAATTAAGATCCACAGTCGGTCATTTCTGCATGTTAATGATTACTTTGGATAAATGATTAATTTTATGTACAAAATGTGAGTCTCTATAGTTAATGTGAGTCTCTATAGTTAATGTTCAAGGAACATAGAAAACCCATTGTGTTTGTTTGGAACACACATACACAAAAATATTAGGGGTGTCAAATTATCGCGTTAATTGCGATTAATTAATTACAGTCATATTTAGTGCGTTATGTTTTTTAATCGCGTTAATCTAATTTTTAATCTCTAACTTTAGTGTTTCTGTATGCGAGTTGCTTTATTATAAAACCTGTTTTTATGTGTTGTTGGGACAATAACACACACAAAAAAAAACACATTTATACATTTTTTTATTTCGGTAATTCCACTCATTGTCGGAAACCCACACAAAACGCGCGCAGTAAGAGCGATGTAAACGGCATGTTCACGTTGGCGGCGTCAGTCGCACAGTGGACGAGGTCAAAGAGCCAGTAGAACAGAGGCAGCAGTGCACAGGTAAAAACACATTTGTGTCTTGGAAATTATTCTCCCGACGTGAAATATAAAAGAAAATAACAAATATAAAATCACCTACAACTTAAATGTCACAGCTGGAAACAGCCTGCCTAGGCTCATGATGTCTGCACTACTGTCCTATAGTGACCTGCCACATGAGGGGACACACACACAAACACACACAAAACACACACACACACACAAACACACACACACACACACACACACACACACACACACACACACACACACACACACACACACACACACACACACACACAAACACACACAAAACACAAACACACACCTTCATCATCGTCATTAACCTGAGAACGCGCGGACCACGTTTCCTTCCGTAGACACTGCGCGGACACCGACGTGCTCCCGTGAGCCGCGTGTGGATCGTGTTTTCTCGCGTACGCGACGTAAACCACACTTCCTCCTGTGAGCCTCTAAACCAGAACTAACACCAAGACTAAAACCAGGACTAATCCAGTCCAGGACTAAACCAGGTCTAAACCAGGTCTAAACCAGGACTAAACCAGAACTAAAACCAGAACTAAAACCAGGTCTAAACCAGGACTAAACCAGGTCTAAACCAGGACTAAACCAGGACTAAACCAGAACTAAAACCAGGTCTAAACCAGGTCTAAACCAGGACTAAACCAGGACTAAAACCAGAACTAAAACCAGGTCTAAACCAGGACTAAACCAGGACTAAACCAGGTCTAAACCAGAACTAAACCAGAACTAAAACCAGGTCTAAACCAGGACTAAACCAGGTCTAAACCAGGACTAAACCAGGACTAAAACCAGATCTAAACCAGGTCTAAACCAGGACTAAACCAGGACTAAACCAGAACTAAAACCAGAACTAAAACCAGAACTAAAACCAGGTCTAAACCAGGTCTAAACCAGGACTAAACCAGAACTAAAACCAGAACTAAAACCAGGTCTAAACCAGGTCTAAACCAGGACTAAACCAGGACAAAACCAGAACTAACACCACTACTAAAACCAGGACTAACCCATTCCAGGACTAAACTGGTACTAAAGTAGGACTAAAGCAGGTCTAAACCAGGACTAAAACCAGTGATCTTGTATATAAAGCATTTCTCTATCAATAATATTTTTAATATGGTTAAGGAAAGACTGGACTTTTTATTGTCTTTAAGTAGACAAAAGTTATTATGTTCAGATTTCCTCGTCTTTGCTACTTTTACAAACAGTTTCTTATTCATGGAGACTTGGGCTCAACAGCCAATTTGGAGAATTTATTAAACAATAAATTACTTTATAAAGTCACTTTTTTGTTCTATATCAGTCTTTTGATCTGCCACAATAATGTAATAATGAATTTAAATGAAAATACCTCAAATTGAAGGCTTTTCTCTGCAATTTTTAGGTGAGATTAAAATGAGATTAATTAGATTAATTAATTACAGATCATAATTAATTAATCTCTCAATTTTTTTAATCGCATGACAGCACTAAAAAATATATAATATATTTAAATATTTTCTAATATTCTAAAATCATTTTGCATTCCACCCAAATTGTATTTTATTTTTTTATTTATTTATTTATTTTTCATTACAGCAAAATGTTATGCCTTGATAAGTTAAGTATTTTTCCATTGGTAAATATTTTTACTTGTCAAGTTAAATTTACACAAATCAAAATAATAAATTCTTAGCTCAAGAAAATGAGACTTACTTACATATTACATTTTGCGGTGTATTATTCTCCTTCCTCTGATCCACAACAAGCAAATTACAGTCAATGTTCATGTACTTTAGGTTACCAGAAGACTCTCTTCTCACACGCCGCTTCCACAACCCAAGCTTATCAGACGCCATTGCCAACCAGCAGCTGCGCTACGCCTCATACAGGGTCCCTACAGGACTGTACGGGGAGGACAACCAGTATGCTGTGGTGCCCCCGTATGGCCCACGCTCTGGCCACTGGGCTCGTAACGCCCGGGGAGGAGGTGATGGAGGGGACGACGTGTGGGCCTCTGAGAGGGTCCTGCCACACGGCACCCTCCAGAACCTGTCCAAGTGGTCCATGTACAGAGAGGCGGGAATTCTGGACGGCTACACTCCAACGCTTAAGGCAGATGGGACCACCGAGGACTCAGAGTGGGCCCCTGAGAGAGAGCAGATGCCAGGCAAAAGCTGGTATGACAAGGTAAGGATTGTTTCTGCTCGACTATTGATTGTATTCCACCCTCCTCCACAAACCAAGAAGTGCACTGTTAGCACTTATAAACTCATCACAGAGAATCATTAGGATGCAAGGCAAGTGAAGAATAAGTTTACACTATTGCAAGCACTTTAAAATGAATGTTCAAAACAGACAAAATCAGGCACAGAGCCTTTGAATAAGTCAACTGGACGACACAGGTAGATTCAGTTCTTTTTGGACGTGGCAATTTCTCATATAAAAAAGCTGCTGGTCAAGTTGAATTAACTAATTGAATTACGTTGTTGTGTGCATTTGTTATTTTGATTGCAATTTTATTACGATTGCTAATGTTTTTTTTGTTTGTTTGTTTAGATATACTCCATCCTAACCATGCCTACAACCGGCCATAGGGTAAAACGCTGGGCTGAGGGGATGGAGGACATGACACAGCTGCCGTAAGCATCCACACACTTAACGTCTCATTATAGTCTCATTCTATTATATATTTATAATGTAATATTAGTAAATGTTTCAGTGTTTTGTTTGTGATTTCTTTATAGTTAGTGTATGTAAAAAATTATGTTCTTTTGTCAAGAATCAAGTAAACATGTTTGAGTCAAATATTGAATTTGCTGACAACAACTGTTAGAATAGAATATTTATTACCAGAATTTCCAACTGCCAGATTTAATGAGCTTCATTGACTTGAACGGAACACTATGGGTGACACTCCCTTAGTCCACTCCTTTAGAGTCTATGGTCAAGTAGCAATTATCTAATAACAGATATTAATGGGGGAATTATTATGGGGGTGGAGTGACTGCTTTGATAGCTTGTGAATAGATGTACATACCCTCAGTATTACATTGTTTGTTTCTTTGTGATTCCGGGGAGCTGAATGAAATGTTTGTGAGAGTGAATTGTGTCTGCTTGATGTCAGGGAGCTGAATGACACCACTGTGATCATGAACCTGAAGAAACGTTTCGACCAGGAGCTCATATATGTAAGCATTATTCACTTGTGCTTCCCTCTTCCTGGTTAGACCCACACTGACCTTGATTCTGTCCTGTAGACCTACATTGGCAGTATCCTCATCTCAGTGAACCCTTACAAACTGATGAACATGTACGGCACAGACATAGTAATGCTGTACGAGGGCCGTGGGCTGTGTGATAACCCTCCGTAAGTACAGGAATACAAATTTGCAGTATGTATGGAAAATATATAGAACAGTAACACATGATTTGCATTTTATTATAGTAGAACATGTGACACACACAGACAGACAGGTACATAATCCAGAGAGATATTCAAGTTTTGCTGCAGCAAACGGGTCTAAAGGTTCAAGGTTACTTCTTTATACAGTCTATGATACCACTTTTTCTCGTTTTCTCACTAATACTGTGCAGTTTCATGTAGGCCTGTTGCAGTAACCACAATTTTACAATATGGTATGATCAGTCCTACCGTAGCACAAGGCTCAAGTGACCACGGAAACAGCAGTTTGCATTTTAATCAGGCTCCACGCACATGCCTGGCATAATTTTACTACTAACTATGAACCAGTTTTTGTTTACACACCTTTAAGAAAAAGCTGTTTTGTTGTTAGTGCTAAAGCTAAACACTAGCACATCCCTTCAGTCAGAGGCTTGAATCTTGAGCGGGGGGTTTACCGTGGGACTACAGGCTTGTGCGTAACTCACTGGAGGAGCAGCAGAGTTGAATACAGATCCACTCATTGGATAAAACCGTACACTGTACAAAACCCTCTGAAGTTTGGCTCAGCCCTCGATAACCTGCACTCTGCTGCTGACAACGCACACTCTGCACAACACGCCGCACACAATGTACACACTGCACACACTGCAGTGCTGCAGCACATAAAGTTACCGCAAAGGAAATTCTTTAACCACAACAGCCATAGTTTCAAGTCTACATTGTGTGATCAAGTACAGTATTACTGTGGTTCATGAGAGCAACTTCAGTCTGACCTAATGAAAGACTGACTCTACTGGAATACAATTACTCAAAATGAGTCATTCTAATTTCGCTACAGCCCATTGAAATGTGCTCTTATCATCAGAAGTGCCCTATGACACAAGGCCCTGACTCACAGAGCGGTGTAAACAGGCGTAAATGCCAGCACTCTGGGGTGTTACTCAGTAGCTCCAGTTACACTGTTGGTTGGTTGCCAGGGGAGAGTTTAGTTATGCATTTCACTGCCACTTTACATCTACACACTACACTTTGTTGGTCATCTTTTACAGAATTATTTAGCGCAGAAATCTGTCCAAAAGACAAAAAATCGTAGTAAAAAGATGCCCCCTAAGACATTTGTAAACTCTGTTGTTTAGCTGTGCTAATTATGTGTAGTTATTTTTGCAAGACATGGATATATGTGCATGTAAGTATATACATATGTATACCATATACTTAAATATTAAAACATAAAATTATAATAATTATCCTAGACTACAATTTGCTACTCAACACAGTAAACAAATAAATTAATAAATAGTGTAAACTAAAAATAAGACAGTTTTTAACTGGAAAGAATTTAGTTCAAATGTATTCCTTCACTTTATTAACATTCCTAGCATCCTAAATGTTTACTATGATGACTTCATAAGTGCTTTTTGTAGTCACACGAATGCTAACAACAACCAGCATGTTAACAGCACCAATATTTTTCCTGGTTAGGATGATTTAAAATGATTGTCTTTACTGTATAATGAGATGCAGACAGTATGTAAGTGTTCAGTTTGTTTGCTTTTATAATCTTTTACAAACTGCTTTTATAATGTAGCTGTACTGGGGAAAAAAATACTTTTTACGTGAAAATAATGGTTTACCTATGATTTGGTTTCTGTATTCTTTCATTTCATTACCTCAGCACCTTAATTTTACATTGATCTGATTCTAATCCTCCAGCCATATTTTTGCCATTGCTAACTTATCGTATTCCACCATGATGGATGCCAAAAAGGACCAGTGTATTGTAATCAGGTATGGAGTTTTAACATTCCATTTTTTATTCATATTCAGATCTTAAACTTCTTAAAACCTTCTTTCTTTGTTTGAACTGTATTTTCAGTGGAGAAAGTGGCTCAGGAAAGACAGAGGCTACCAAATTGATCCTGCGTTACTTGACAGCCATTCACCACAAACGCAACGTGACACAACAGGTACCTGTCACTATCCTCTATCTTTTGAATTATAATATATATAATTAATCTTTTCATCTCATGTCATTTTAATCGTGTTCTTTTTTCCCTTATATCTTGAATCTCTCATCAGATAGAGGTACGCTGTCTATTCCAATGAGTGGATTATAATACTTTTTTGTGCTTCGCCACAGTAACAAATTTTTATGCTTGACCAGATCCTAGAGGCGACGCCCCTGCTGGAGTCTTTTGGAAATGCCAAAACAGTGCGCAATGACAACTCGTCGCGTTTTGGAAAATATACTCAGATCTACATGGAGGAGTAAGTGTTTTTCCTCATTATTTTTTATTAGTTTGAATAGTCAAATGATAATTTTTAAAGGGACCATATTATGCTATTTTTAAACCCTGTGTCATAATGTTGTATCCTCATCAAAAACATACCTCGATTTTGATTTGTTTCATTCACACATGTTCAACACACAAACCCGGCATATTTAGTTCTTCTTGTGATGTCATGTAGTAAAACAGGGAGAGCTCCACTGAGTTTTTAAACTCCATACACCTTCATTAGAATCATTTGGATAATTTCAGCCCTGAAATTACCAGTCTCCACTGAACAGAACTTAAAAGGTAGCTGCTAATTGGCTGCTTCATGACTTCACAAGTTGAAACAGAGCATTTTGAGCTTTGGAAATGTGGACAGACGAATAATAAAAGGTTACTCAAACTCATGTGTGAATGAAACAAAAACATAACTATTTTTGAGGAGGTGACATTATAACATGGCTACAAGAGTCGGTTTTGCATAATATAGTTTTATAGACGATAGATTTTAGATTTATTTTTGCATATCACCAAAACAACAATTGCGATACTACCAGTTTTTCATTATTTACCTCCAACCTCTAAAAAAGTAAACTGATTTAAACTAATATAATAACAAATATTGTGGTTGCCAGGAGAGGGCACAAGGACTCACCCAGTGCTGTCCATGAGGAATGAAACAGTTAAAAATAAGCTAAAAACAATAGCTGTTAGCTGAAATGTGTATTCAAACTGTGTGAGCCTTTGCCATTCCTTTGACACACTTTTGGGTCTTAACCTACTTTGTGGGACTGTTCAGTAAACAATATGTGTGAAGTAGTTCGACAGTCCTGAGGTGTTAAATACCAAATTCATCCTCTACATAAATAATGCACCAGTGACAAGCAAGCCAAACTTAAAGAGGTCATATTATGCAAGACCAACTTTTTTGAGTTTTTATTATAATTTGTTTGTTGTATTTAGAGTGATTCATGTGTGTTTGAGTAATCCTGTATTGAAAAATTGTAAATATAACACCTGGTTGTACATGTAAGGTTAAAGGTTGTGTAACTTTTCTGGTGGAGGGTTCATCAAATGCTTTTCACCATCCAGATGTTTTTGGGGTTTTTTTGTTTTTTTGTCTGGAATGTTTCACAGTATGTAACCTTTCTGTCTTCATGGAGTCCAAACCAGACTAGGTTATGTCAGTTATGTCCTTGACTCATATTTTGCATAATTCAGGGTACATATTGGGTCATGGAACACCTGGAAAAGTCATGAGAAATTAAAATTTAATTTTCAGGCCCTGGGAAAGTTTTGGAATTCTACTGTTTTTAGGAGAAGTTATTGAATTTTTATAAAACATTTTGGTTAAATACGCTTATCTTTTTAATCCAAAAAGGTTAGTGTCAACCATGGTCATGGAAAATTAGGGAATGGTTATGGAGAAATGGAAAAATCATGGAAAAACTTATTAACATATGTTGACATATGAGTTAACATATGTACAATCCCTGATAATCGTGCACCTTTAGAGTGAAATATCAATGCTTAAAATGCATGTAAAAAGTAAATTAAAGAGGGGTATTACATTCTATGGGGTATTAAGTGCTAACACATAACATATTTAGATCACCATGTTACCTTTTATTGTTTTGAAAATGCTATATTCACCAAAAACAACATATTAATGTATTAAAGTTTCAGTTTCGTTTTTGATGCTTTGAGACCCCTGTCCTTTACTCTCTGTGATAAGTCACTCCCTCTTCATCAGGTTTGTCAAAGTGGCTTGTGGGCTGAGCATTGCAAAGAACCTCACAGCTAACCATAAGAACGATTCCAGGAGTTTTTTTGCTTTTGCATAGTACTGTCTTTTTATATACTGAAATATACTGAAGTAATAATGTAGGACCTTAACTGAAGTTGAAAATCTTCAGCCATAACCTATTTAAACAATGTATTTTCAGCTAAACGCTTTTGTTGACAAAGAAGACTAGCGTTTCTATTGTAGCAACATGAGTAGTTGTAATCCAGGACACGAGTAGGTCTCAGGTTCACCTGTTAGTTAGACAGTACTTTCCACAAATGCACAAACATGGACGTCTTTCGTGGTGTTGACGTCACTTTCTCAGATATAGGGCACTGAAAGAAGGAAATAACCAAACTGAAGATTTGTGTTAGACAAACAAGTGTTAGAGATTTCACAAATTTGTGTTTGAATAAGGCCTTTTATGGACCGTAGTATTGTTACAGGGCACATATTACGCTGTTTTCAATGTTGTTAATGTAGTTTCCTCATCACAAACATATCTGGAGTTGTGTTTTTTTTCATTCACACATGTTTAACACACAAACCTTATGATGTCATCGCAAAACAGGAAGTGCTCCACTGTGTCCATACACATTCACTAGAATCATTTGGATAATTTCAGCCTTGGTGTTGCTACTGAAAACTACTGCTTCATGACATCACAAGGTGGAACAGTGCACTTGAGCTTTGGAGATGTAGACAGACTTATAATAAAGGGTTTTGAATGAAACAAAACACAACTCTGGGTATGTTTTTGAAGATGTATCAAAGTTCTTAAAGTTTTAACATGGCTTGAAATAATTTACCTTAGTTCATTGATGCTGACAGAGTATACATTAAATTTGCCTGTTGTGTTTCCTGTGGATAGGCCCAGAAATTAAAGGGACATTAAACTCCTCGTGCCTGAGTACCCCAAGTGTACAGATGTTTTGTTCCACGATCAGGAAGGGCAGGAGTTAGGAGGAGTTAGCAAGCTAGGTATTGTTAGCGTTTCTGTCACTGCAAAACTCCGCTCTGGCCTCTGAAAGTTGTGAAAAGTACTTATAATCTCATTGCAGTAAATATTTAGGATGCTGAGAATGCATAAAGCAAGTTAGGAATAACTTTGGACCACAGCAAACTGTTTTTAAGTCAGTAAAATCGGGTGCAGCTCGACATCCAGCTCAAAACATCTGCATTTTGTCTGTCACCATAGAATTCTGAAATGCCCTACTGCTTAAAGATACACTGCGTAACATTCCATCACCTGCTTGTCTCCATGGAAATGTTATTGCTTTGTCTAGAATGTTCCACAGCATAGATTAAACTTATGTGTCATGAAGACGATAACCAGGTTACAGCACAACGCTACGTTACAATTCAGATCTATGGAGAGTCACCCTATTCACAGGAGTAGTTATTGTATTTTCAAGCATTAGAAACACATGTTAGGAATAAATGTAAGATGGATTTGTTTAATGTCATACCATAGAACATAACAGGCAAAGCAAGACAAGTATGTACCACCAGAAAAGTTGTCCAGTTGTGCACCTTTAATTTGAAACTCTTTAAGTTATGATGTCAGTTGACCTCGGCATACATGTATAGCTGTCCCACTAACACAGATATTTGAGTGTTTGAGCTGCGGAGAAAAGATTATGGCTCATAACAGATGCATGAGCTGTTACTTAACTGTGTGGCTGTGTGCTCTGTGCTAGGGGTGTGATCAGCGGTGCCATAACCTCCCAGTACCTGCTGGAGAAGTCCCGCATTGTCTTTCAGGTGAGTCCACAGCAGGGAGGGTGGGAGTCTTGTTTCCAAAATGTCATATGTCACCTCACAGAGCAGTTACACTCAGGAGTTCAGTCATCAGGGACCTCATTTATAAAAGAATACATCAAAATGTACTTGGACACTTGTGCACTGTACAATTACGAAACACAACTTACTGTGATCAATAAATTGTTCACGTTTCCCACACACTTGTGACCAAATGTTCACAGTTCAATTTGATTTTGTGTTTTTTTTTTTTCTGGAAAAATAAAGTCAAAATGAACCAGTCAGTTCCACTAATCATGACTTTGTCAAGCTCTCTCCCTTCATAGCTTTTCTCTTCTCCTCTCCTCTGAGCTGTGTCTCTGAGGCTCCAGACTTTCTGCAGAGGTGCACTATGTTCTATGTTCAAGTGTTGTTGTTTTTTTTTTATAAACACAGCTTTGACATTTCAGACCTTGTTTTTGTGACTATGGGTCTTTAGAAATGAGGCCCAAGGGCTGTGCCAGAAGTCAAGGCTTCTTTCTACAATAGTGTAGTGTAGATGATGTTATGGTAGCCTGGCAGACCAGCCCCTCCTGCTGTCTGTTTAAATGCAGGAGCACAGTACGGCAAATAGTTAACAAATAAAATAAATATATTCTTTTGACAATGTATTTCGTGATGTATCTGTGCAGTCACATGTCTTAGGTAAATAAACATGACCAAACAATATGTTTATTGGAGTTGAGGCCTTTTACAGTGACCGATAGAAGCTGCTACGGTTGGCCTGGTGTCTTCCAGTATGAGTAGTCTGATGAAACATTTGTCCCTTTTGTTACTATGTAGTTCTGAGACTTTGGTTTGTTCTGCTGTACAGAGCAGAGTACATGTGCACTGTCTGATACTTTGGTTGTGATCATATAATATAATGTGTGACGATAGAACTATGTGAGATCAGTGGAGCTTTTAAGAACCAAACTCCTCCTCTCAAGGGCGTCCTCAGTCATATGATTCAATATATTCATATTTTATACGGGAAGTTAGCGGCCTCGTATATAATCAAAGGCATTGTGCTGGTGAGTGATTTCTTTTGGCTTTGTAGTCACTCTGACAAACATTCAAGTTTTTCCATTTGCATAAAGAAATCAATACCTCCTTTTGTGTGAGAATGATCAGCGTCATAAATAAATGGAGTGAGAAAGCCCGGCCTTTCAAAGTCACCACAGATCTCAATATTGACAGAAAGATTTATTCTCAGGATGTAAACACATTAGCATTGATATTCACAGAGAGGTAGCACACGTCATTGTAATTTATTAAGAATCGATGCCTGTAGTCTTTCTGTCATTGAGACTCACAGGGGACCGCGCCAAGGTGCCTTCGTTGTGTTTGGCGTAAATTTGTTATGCAAATACGGCGAGACATTAGCTGCTGACTCACATTCCCATAGCCCCGTAGATGACCCCCAGACCGGCTCAGGACAGGTGTCAAAGTCCTCCCCCCTGGATAAGCCTCGGTCCCAGGCTGAGTGAAGAGGATGGCATGCATAAATACCTCCGCAGAGGCTTCCGGGTTATTGGGTCAGTGTGCCGTGCCGAGCTGTCAGCTTCACTAAGCGCAGGGAGGTTTAATTAGCACGGCCCGTGAGAGCGAAGTCCCCACACAACAGCAGAAGGCGAGGTGCTACACGCTAAGCTGCCGCTGATAATGGAAAGGTTGGGTTCAGGTGATACTACAGTAT